ACCGTCGGCAGCAGGTCGAGCGCCGAGACGACGGAGTCGCTATCGACGTGCCCCGCCTGCACCACTTATTAATTATTATTATTAAATACTTATTAATTATTAATAGTCGCTGTCGACGTGCCCCGCCTGCACCACTTATTAATTATTATTATTAAATACTTATTAATTATTAATAGTCGCTGTCGACGTGCCCCGCCTGCACCACTTATTAATTATTATTATTAAATACTTATTAATTATTAATAGTCGCTGTCGACGTCCCCCGCCTGCACCACTTATTAATTATTATTATTCAATACTTATTAATTATTAATAGTCGCTGTCGACGTGCCCCGCCTGCACCACGCCAGGCCAGCGCACGAGGAGAGGGACGCGCACCCCGCCGTCGTACCTGTGGGGGGGGGAGGGACACAGAGGCTTGCGAGCGGGTGGGGCGCGAGGGGGCGGTGAGGGGAGATGAGGGGCAGGGGGGGGTCGGCGGGCCGCGGCGCACTGAGTGAACTTGCCTCCGCGCAGCCCTCCCGCGTAGCCCATCAGGAACGGGCTCTCGCCCGCAAAGGTGAGCGGCGGCCTCGCGGCGGGAGGGAGAGCCTCCATCCGCCTCCGCGCGCCTCGAGGCAGCTGCGGCCCCTTTGAGACTACCGCGGGTCCGTGAGACGGACGAGTAAGAGGGCGGGCGGCACTTTTTCGGCGATGACGTCGATCTGTGATGCCGAGCGAGGCGGCGTGTGCGGAGGCGAGAGGCCATGGTGCTCCGAGAAGCGAGCCGGGTCAAAGGTCGGCGGGGGGGGGGGGGTGTCCAGGCCTCGCTCGGCCGTGAGGAGGTCGCAGTTGAACACCGGGTCGTGCCTGGCAAGGGGAGAGGGGGGGGGGGGGGTCGCACGTGTCGGCCCAAAGAGCCGCCCTCTCTCCCACCACTGCACGGGCATGCAGCCGCGCACGTCGAGTGACCCCACACGTTGGCGTACCACGGCCGCGCGGCGTGCCTCTCGACCCACCGCTCCGCCGCGTAGTAGACCGCCTCGTCCCTCCCCCGCCCCGTGTACCGCCTCGCCTTGCCTCTCCGCTCCTCCTCGGGCAGGGCGCACGGAAGCTCTTTGCCGGACGAGACGACAGTGTGGATGCCCAGGTGCGTCGAGCCGTCGTCTGCCCGCCGGGCCGCATAGTAGGGTCGCTCCGGCCCGAGGTGCCACTTGCCGAAGTGAGCGACCGCGTACCCGGCCGCGCCGAACACCTCGGTTAGCGCCGGCGTCCCGACCGCCGCGAGCCCGAGGCCGAGCCGAAACTCAAACGTGGCGGGGTGGCGGCCGCTCATGAGAGCGGCGCGGCTGGGCGCGCAAGTGCAGCCCACCACATAGTACTGGCGCAGGCTGGTGCCCTCCTTAAACAGCCGGTCAAGGTTTGGCGTCCTCGCGTAAGGGTGGCCTCCAAAGGCAGCCAGGTCGCCGTATCCCACGTCGTCGCCGAGCATGAGAAGCACGTTTGGTGTGGCGTTGCCGGGCCGAGGGTACGCCGGCCCGCGCGCATACGGGCTGCTGGGGTAGCCGGCGGGCGGGGGTGGCAACGCTGCGGAGCGCCGCCAAGCACTGTTTAGCAGCTTACAGGTGAGAGCCTTCGAGCTGTTCTTCTTCGACTCCGATCCGGCGGCGACAGACAGGGCGTGGAGGAGCGTGCACCAGCAGAAGAGGCGCATGATCGCGGGGAAGAAGCAAGTCGGTGCGCCTCTCGACGAGCGGGCGCTGCGGAGGATCAGTCAGCCGCCATAAAAAGAGCAAGAAGAAATTGCCTCCATCATCCCCAGGAAGAGGGGCTCCCGGGAATCCGGGCAGTGTGACGCACTTCTTTACCTCCCATACGTGTGTGTAAATAAATAAAACCGACACCCTACTGTGAAATGTGAGATGGTGGGTAAAAAAGAAAAATCCCCGTTCTTATCTTTTTGCCCCCCTCCAAGAATGGAGACAGAACCCACCCGTACACAGGAGAGATGGGACTGCGTCCCCCCCCGCTTGCCCTGCCTGCGCAGGATAGCGTGCCCCGATAACGGCGACACTTAGCGAGGGTCACTGCGCAAGGAGGGGTGCGAAGCCTTTTCTTTTGTCCTCTCGGGGGAATGTTCTCTCGGCGCCCTTGGCCTTCTGAGGTTTCGTACTAATGACGTCCTTCTTGGCACTTCGGGCGTCGGTTGTGCGTATCTGATTGTCTAATTCCCCCGGTATGCTACATAGGTCGTTCGCCGGCATCCCCTGGATTTCTTCGCCGAGTGCCGCCCCGCGAGCGGGAGGCCCCCAGTTCGAAACCAGGTCGACCCTTATATTTTTTCACACCTGAGCGGGCTCAATTTTTGCTCTAGGTGCCTCCTACGAATTCGAACCCACGTTTTTCGGCCAGGCGGCCGGTGCGTTGGTCGTTCTCGTCATTGGGATTGGTGGGTAAAAAGGAACAGGTCCCCGCCCGTGCGATCTTTGTGCAGGGTTCTTTTTGTGGGTGTGGTCCATAGCGGGGTGGGGAGGCCCTAAAACGGCGGGAGGGGTAGGGCTATATCGATAGAGCTAGAGGGCTCAACCACCCCTCCACCCCTGCACCCTGCACCCCTCCACCCTCCCGGAGCGAGAGAGGTCCGTCTTCGAGCCCTCCCACTTCCACCCCTCCGACCGGAGGGCTCGCCAGCCCACAGCTCAGGGCTGGAGGGGTCCCCGTC